CAATCGTTCATCGATCGTCTTTTTTTTTTTCTCTTTCTCTCTCTCTTTCTCTCTCTTTTTCTTCAAGTAACCCGTGTATCCGAGTGTTAGTGAGTCGATATCGAAACGAAAAGTTGCGGGGGAAGTGGAACGCGAGTGGAACGAGCGCGATAATAAATCTCGATCCTCGGGGAGAAGGAAGGACGATCAAATATAAATGAGAGTTTTCCACGGTTAAACCGTTCTTCCCCTTTTTTCCTTCCTTCTTTCCTTTCTTCCTTCCTTCTTTCCCTTCTTCCTTCCTTCCTTCCTTCCTTCCTTCCTTCCTTCCTTCCTCGAGACACTTCACCGATTAATAATATCCTTCGCCTCCTCGGAGGATCGATTTTGGGGAATCGGTCGATTATAATCGATGATGGAGACCGGACCACGAAGACTGCTCCTGTGGTGGATATACATTTTCGGCGTTGCAGGGGCGAACGGTGAGCAAAAACCCCTCCGAATTTCGACACTCCTCGGCTCTCGTTCGACGACACGTCACGTGGACGATGGATGCGTGGCTCAAGGCCGACGGACGTTCACTCTACGCGACGACCTCGATGCGCCTCGATTCTCTTCGTCTCTCTCTCTCTCTCTCGTCCGATCTTCCTCAACTTGCTTCCCGAATCGAAATCGTTCCTTTCCTCCTCCCGAGCAAAAGAAGGAGGAGGAGCAGGAGGAGGAGGAGGGAATATTGTGCGAACTCGTATACAATAAACCCGTAGTAAATTCCCCTAGTGATTACACAGTAATTGCACTGTTTCGTTGACGGAAAACGAAGTGAGAAACTGCTTTTAACCGCGTTGTGATTCGATTCAAGCGGCGTATGTATTTTTAGATCGCCGGTGGGGCGAATTTTTCTCCCTCTATAGGAATCTCTGTGCGAAAACGGGATCCAGGGCAGATGGAAGAAGAGTTGGAAAATAAGAACGTTAATAATTGCGCGGTGATTTACGAGCGCAACAATGACGTTGTCCGATGAATCACGCGATCCTTCTCCTCCTCCTCTTCCTCCTCCTCTTCCTCCTCCTCCTTCTCCTTCTCGTCTCTCGTTACTCAGCAGATCGCCTCGATTATATATTTCGACTCGATTCCACGGCGAAAGTTTGAAAAAGTTTTTTAATTTCGGTGAAAGATTAACCTCGAAAGCAAATTCCTGATTAGACACGAATTAGAAACGAGTTTCAATACGAATCGTTTGTCGATCGATGACGAGAGGATCAAACTCTTGGAACGTCTGGCTCGCGATTCTTTCCGCGGAGAGAAAGAAAGGGAACGCGAGGAGGAAAGTGATTTTCCACGCTTCGAGTTACGTTCCGACTCCTTGCCTTGGTTCCGTTCTTCTCGCGTCTTTTCGGGATCGTTCGCTCTTCCATATATGTATATGCACATATATATTTCTCTTGGAAAGAAGAAAAACTAATAATAGTTTAGAATTATTCGTATCCGCTTCTCCCTTCTCATTTTTAACCCTTATCTCCTTCGTTCCCCCCTTTTACTGCTTCCGTTCTCTCAAACGGTTCGATCGTACGACAGGTGCTTCTTATCCCTCCCTCGAATCGGTATCCGTGGAATTCACTCGGCTTGTAAATTCCGCGGTTGTTGCGAGAGGCAAGCTAAATGTGGTCTCGGTTAAAGGATATAAACTTTATCGTCGTTTCGAAAAAAAGAAAAGTAAAACGCGCGATTCGTCGTCGCGATCCTTTCTCGACGGACGAGGAAACGAAAAAGCGTCGATCGAGCTTCGAGCTAGGAAATAGCCAACGAATGAAACTGAAGGATTAAATAGAATCCAATCGAAATTAGATCGATGATAATCGCGTTGATTTTGGGCAGTAATCGAGAATCTTTTCGATCGGATAAAGTGGAACCCTAAAGAAGGATCCCCTTTGGGAGACAACGTTCTCGCGATTGCAAGAAAGATATTTCACGCGTTCGATCGCGAGAGAGAGTGCGTATCGCTTTGTATGCAAAATAAGTATGTGTCGCCTGTGTCGCCGTGGCACAATGCATGTGTGTGTGTGTGTGTGTGTGGGTGTATGTGAATTCGCTTCCAAGTTTTTTTGCGGACAGGAGGGGGAAATTGGCGATGTCGGTCGCGTAACATCCAGCGTTTGCTTTTCCTCCGAAAGATAAGATCACCGGGTGAAAGAGCGACGAAAGGAGGGGAGGGGGAAGAAAAGGACGCGGAGAGAAAGAAGAAGTGGAAAGAAAGGGAGAAGATGGAATAACGCGGCGGCCCTCCTGAAGGAGGAAGGAGGGCGCGGAGAATGCGAGGGGGGAGGGGGG